TTTTTTTTTTTTTTTTTTTTGGCTCTTTGCTTTCCTGTACTGAGGGGTATTACGTTGTCAAAATCACTTAGGAAAGAGTACTTGGGAGTATAAAAAGCTCCAGTCAGTGGAAGAAACCCAGGCCAAATACCATAATTGCAATTTTATAATGAAATACATCTTTTGTATATGAAAACCTATTAACTATGTGCTGAGCTCTGAAGTTCTGCTTTTTCATTGCAAGAAATGAGGGGTTAAAGAAATTGAGGATAGGTAGAGAAGATGGTGTTTTTTAGATTTTGTTTGAAGCTGCCTTTGATTTCAGAGGATTTTTAAGACTGGCTGTACAATTACTATGTCTAGTTACGTTCTTAACTTGAAATAACTTGTGTTATGAAACTGTTCCTGGTATATTTTGTGTGTACTGTTTCCTAGCTTTGAGGTAGATTGTCTAAGTATGGCAAGAGATACTTGTCAAGTCACTTTCACTTGCTGGCACTTAACTTGCTCCTAGTTGTGGAGAGCCCTAACAGTAAGCAAATACAGTCTGGGAACCTGACAGTTCTGCTGCTGAGATTGCTCTCTGACTTTTTTCTTCCTGAATAGGCCTCTGTTAAACAACTTCCTAAAGATCATCTTAATCTGTTAAAGCCAAGCTGTGGGTTTGATTTCAGCCAATATTTTATGTCAGCCAGACCATGTGAAATAAGAATATGAAGGAAAAAATAGCTTGAAGTGCTGCCTATTGTAGCTTTAAAGTTAGATAATCACATGGATGGTAGTTTTTAAGGTAGCAAGGTTTGCATTTTGTCTGCAATTTTGTCTGCAATTTCTTCTCTTAACTTTGCTTACTGCTTATACTTTACACAATACTGCATAGATTGAAACACTAAAATACTGAGAAACCTGTGCTATGGTTCAGTATTTCACTGGGATTTTTGAGGGCCGGATGATACCAAAAAAGCTGTTTCCTTCCTTAGCTAAATCCACGACACTGCAGCAGTCGTACACAAGTCTTAATTATCACAAGTGAGGGAGAGGCTCGATGCAGAGGACTGTCATCCTTCTGGCATATCTTATGTGTAATGTTGCTTGTAATGAGAATGCTGCAGCGGAGGTCTACAAGCATATAGTTCTTTGGAGAGTGATAGTCTCTAGCCTGAAAACCTGGTTGTATAAACACAAATTCTTCTGTGAACAGAAGGTTACAGAATATTAAATTGGCCCAGTGTCAGCAGTGATTGTTGGAGTCCTTGAAACTTCACTTTGTTTTTTGTGTATTCAGAAAGCTAAAAGTCATTTTTGCTTAGTTTGTAATGAAAGCTCTGTTTATTGGGGAAAAAAGCTGCAAAATAATATTGCTGATATCTTTCAGTTTATGATGTCACGAGAAGAGATACCTTTGTCAAGCTGGATAACTGGTTAAATGAATTGGAAACATACTGCACAAGGAATGACATAGTTAAAATGCTAGTTGGAAACAAGATTGATAAGGTAAACTGAATTTAGCTGTGACAAATGGTCTGTTACTGTATATTGGTCATAGTACATATTAATACTATGTCTTATTGTAGGAAAACCGTGAAGTTGACAGAAATGAAGGTCTCAAATTTGCAAGAAAACATTCCATGTTATTCATAGGTATGTTACAGATATTTGTAAAGATAATCTTGTTGTTTTTTTTTCTTTTCTGTTACATAATGAAAACTACTCCTCCTGGATTCTTGGTAGTCTTTTAAAATACAGTCCAATTAATGCTACTCAGCTGCAGGAGCTGTGGGGGTCATGGGTGTTCTCATCTTGTTGAGATTGCCTCTATCTATATTCAGATGTTGAGCTGTAGCTGAGCACGCTGAGATGCATAAGGATTAAGGATGGAGTTCTGGCCTTTCTGTTTTCTGACAGGACCTTTTTAGCCTTTTTTGAAGCTTTTATTACTTGTCTGGTGTTCCAGAGCGAATAGCTAATTGAATTAAGAAGAGTAGCGAAATGAAAGATGGAAAAGTGGTAGTAGTGGCTGGCTTTCAGTTTAGCAAAGGGGCTGGTGCTGGACAGAAATCTGCCTTAAAATAGTGCTGTAATGTCAGTAACTTGTAAGAGGTGAGTGAGGTGGAATAGTTACAAAATCATGAGTGTAGGAAAAGGTGTCTGTCTTGTTGCAAAATGAGAATTGTCTTGGAGTCAAACACTAGTGGTAATAAATGACTTCTCATGCACAAGTTTACCTGTTTCATTTAAGGAACAGCAAGGATTGTTTTAAAGGATGAATCTAGTGGAAAAGTAGTTCCTTGAGAGTTGCTGCTCTTAGGTTGTGTTCCTTTCCTCYGATCACTCGTGCACCTTTGCTTAGTACTTCACTGTATTTGTTTCTGGCTTTGTCAGATGTGGAAATGGAGGAAGCTTCAATTTGGAGTACAGGATGTTAAATGCATGGGAGGTGAAAAGAAGTGGGTAACTTAAAATGTGTAAAATTAAGCTAGATATGACAGAGCTGTGTAGAGGAGTGGGGTGATCTTACCACAGAACTGAACAGTTACAGATGGCATCTGTTTGCTTTCATAGCATATGCTCCGAACAAAAGTTTCTTGGACTTAACTAAAGATCCTAAATGAGATTGTAGAACAAATGAGATCCTTTATTACAGGATGAGCTATATCCTAGAGAACTGTGTGCTGTGGAGTTTCTTGCTGCTTATGATCAGATAGTGCTGGGGTTCTCATCAGTGTGGAGAACTGAAATGTGCAATAGTGACAGATTTATCAGACATCTTGAGGTGGTAGAGCCTGTTTCTTTCTACTGAAATGTTTTCCATATATTCATACCAAGTGGATAAAAACAAAGCTAGGGTATAGTGGTGCAGTGATGTTCATCGTGGAAGCCATTTTTTTATAGGAGAGTCTTTGAGGTGCTGCCTTATGTGACGGTATGAGCCTATATATCTGCAACATTTGGTGTGGTTGCATTGCTGTAGACTATAATGTGTAAGTGGTGCTGTCTCCTGCAACATAGTGGATTTCTTTACTGTTAAGCTTGCTAAAATTATACTAATGATGAAACTACCAGAGCTTATGATTGTGTGCAGCTTGTTAATAAGTCTCACATCCCAGMTGTGTGTCTCAGTACTGATGCTAGAAGTTGTGAATAACTCAGGGTTGTAGGTTGAGTTAATTGAAAGAAGAACTACTGAGAAGTTATTGGTGGAAGCCATGCTAACATGTAATTTCTTGCATCCCTTCTCCAGAGGCAAGTGCAAAAACATGTGATGGTGTACAGTGTGCCTTTGAAGAACTTGTTGAAAAAATCATTCAGACTCCTGGACTGTGGGAGAGTGAGAGCCAAAACAGAGGTGTAAAGTTAACAAACAAGGAAGAACGATATGGAGGAGGAGCATGTGGTGGATACTGCTCTATGTTATAAACTTTGGGAAGCTTTTTTCTTTGCATATTTAAACAGATAGTGACATCTTTCTGTAAATAAATTCATTAAATGCTATTTTTAGGGACCTTGCAGTTTGCACATATTTGTTTTGTATCATGGCAGTGAACACTTGTAGGAAAAAATGCTCTGCAGCTTTTCCAGTTTGAGAACACTGTGGTAAGCATGCCCMGTTTGCAATCTTCAGGTTTTTATAAGTAGCATAAATAATGTGCAAGAACAAATGCACCCAGATTTTTTTGCTCATATACATTCATCAAGTAACTACTCTTAAAAAAACTCATTTAACATATAGAGATGACTACATTGCCTGCTTTTTGTCTCATTTTTAGATATTCTTGAAGTTATAGAAAAACACAGTATGCACAAATTCCCCAAACCATGCGAGCTATAAGTACTACATTTCATGTCTTCTAGTATAATGCTTTTTTTATGGTATTAAAAATAGCATGATTATACAATTCTCTAGACGAATCTGCTAAATTTTTCTYTCAGCAGAACTGTCTAAAATATGAACTGGCACAGGCAATAGTTTCCGCACTCTTTTGAAGAGATGCTTTGAAAGCTTCCTTTGCAAAGCTGGAGAATACTGTTTTTTTTCATTTTCTTTCTATTTTTTTTTTTCTTTTTAATCATTGCTTCGGTTGACCACTTAACTGGAGTTTTAATCCTCTGATATTTATATACTACATTCATGATACTCTTGCACACTAAGTTTTTATGATGCGGTCTTCTCTAGACCTGCCACAGAAAGTCTTCATTTTGGCAACGGGTTTGAATGACATCTTATTCTTTTATTGTGACTCAGTTTACCACACCTCAGTACAGACACCTAATTTTCCTAAATATTTGTAATGTAACTTAAGCTCAAACTGTAGCTCACTATGACTATGAAGATCTGTATCACGTCTGCTTTGTGTGGCTACTTGTTCTGAAATATAGCTTCCCATCCCAGACATTAAATGGGAAGTTATACAGCTTTTGGATCTCTGTATGGAAAATACTATTGCAATGAGTATTCACTTGAATTTACTGTAACAAAGCCAATGGTTTGTTTCAGAAGACTTGTATAGACTAATAAATTTTTTTTCCACAGTATTCAACTTTTCTAACCTCTTCCTATTGTAGAGTTGTATATTTTCTAGTACGTACAGTTTTAAAAAGGTCAGAAATTATCCCTCCTTAAAAAGTGATTTCTGATGGATAAGACAAGGATGCCATGTTAATTTTTAAAAATAATCACTATAGTGCAATGGGAAACTGTACTACYGGGCAGTTTCTTGTGAATATAGTGATTTAGAGTACCTTTTATTACAGCAAGGTTTTGTGTACGTGTCAGCATACATGATATGTATTTCACAGCAGATTTAACTGCGTATGTTAAAATACACTTTGTCCTTCACATGGAWACTTTTTCTATTCTGTTTTTCACTTGCTAAAAAACCAGTACTAAATGTGAAGACTTAACCATGCTAGTTGTTTTTTACCAAATATTGTATCTATGGTATTGTTAATGTAGTAGGATAATTTAAATATGTAAATGTGATTAATAGYGAATGCACATATGTGTTGTATTAAAGTGTTAGATTTGTATTCCTGTTCGTGACACAGCAAATGAGGGCTCAACAAGTCATTCTTGTTAGTATTGAGGTTTCTGTGGATATCTGTCTTACGTAGGCTAGCAGCTAGGGAAAACTTCCAGAAGCATTAAAACTCTGAACAAGCGGCTGTTATTTTAGTGTTATTTCAGTAACGCTGGACAAAGTGTCACGATGCTGCTGGCAGATTCCTGTGACTTGTTTCCATGCCTCTTTCCCCGTTAATGTGGGTGCATCCTTGTATCAGGAAGAACCTTAATTTTTCAGTCTGTTCATCAGGGGCCCTGGCTTTATCTCTCATCTGCCTTTGCTGGTTCTGACAGCCTTCCTTTCCCCCAAAGGAAGGAGCTGCAGGGTCCTCTCAGTAGCGGGTGTTGTTCTGCAGAGAATCAGTCACTTGCTCCCTCTTTCCCTGCAAATTTTTTGAAGGATTGAGGGGGCAGTGTTTTGAAACAGTGTATTTAGCCAGGCTAAAAATAAAAAGATCACACATGTTTAAATTTTATCACACACTTAGTGTAATCTTTTATTTATTTTTTAAGGCAAACTATTCATAATTGATTTGCAGGTAACTTTTCATTAATATTTCCATTTTCTTCCCCTCTTGAGCATGTTCAGTGCCTACTTGAGGAGGTTTTTCCTAGAGTCTTGCCTCCTTGCCCCATTCCTATGCCCGGCTGCCCACTGGGAGTTGTTACCCTGTCCTTCTAAGATTTGTTATAGCAAATATTGTGTCAATTGCTTTTTCTGTGATCTTTCTTGCTGAGACTCAGGTTTTGGATGGTTATSTTTCATGTGATTGTTCTTTTACTTTCAAAACTTTTTTAGTTTATCAGCGTTTTATCACCATTTTCTCAAACTACGCTTTCACAGTTGTGATTATAATATAAGCATCTCTTAAAACTAGTGCTAGCTGTATCATAACTTCTGCGTAATACTGACATACCAGATATTTCTTTGCTGTGAAATACTGGATATCGCTCAGAAAAGTAGGTGGGAGAGAGATTCTTAGATCAATCTACCTCAGGAGGTAGCTGAGGGTAATGGGAGTTGCTGTTGCTTTTTGTTGTTTTCATCAAGTTGCACAAATGTGTTGACTTTTGTAACAATAGTTTTATAAGAAAATACTAAAACAGTCRGGCACAATAGAAATTTCGTATAATCACAAAAGATAAAACCTAAGCTAGATCTAGTAAACTTGCTGCACAACTTCAATATTAAAAATCTTGACTAGTACTTAGGTTCTAGTGGCTGTTAAAGGTTGTCCGTAGGCTTTTTACTATGGAAGAGTATGACAGAATGATCGCRTTGAGTCGTCTTAAAAGTTACATTTGAATATTAAATATTTACACTGAATCTTCTGGCTGTCCTGCTGCAATAGTGAGATTAGCAGCTGACTAAAAGTAAGCCTTAAGAAGCTGGAAAGGAGTTCAGTAAGTAGCCAAACACAACCAGCAGCTGTTGCCTTGGGCTTGGCAGGACCTCTSGAAGTGGTGGTGCTGCTGCTGCGGTGCTGTTCGTGCTGACATTATGTAGCATAGTGGCAACTGCACTGAATGCTTCATTTGATGGGTCTTTCTGTCTGCCCCTCAACTAGTTCACATAGTGAACTACAGTAATCCCTAGAGTCCTGTCCTTCAGCTTTGTGCAGTGTAAGATTTGGATGTTTCAGGCCCAAACTCACTTTTAAATTTGTTTTATAAGAGCACTTCAGATGAAACTTGGCCAACCTCTGCTGCGGTCGGTACAGATTGTTGCTATTTGGCTAGTGGAGAACTGCTTTGGATGTTCAAGGCGCTGCATCTGGCCTATCCGTGCTGCCTTGTTGAAACTGCTCTAGCAGCTCCTGTTATCTCACTGATGGAAGTGTCAGGAATTAACGTACGTGTGAGCAGGGATTCCCTGTGTTACCAGATAAGTCATTAAGTAGGTGTGGAGCATGTTGTGCTTTCAAGGGCAAAATATAAGATATTTATCCAATTCACTTTCCAGCAACCATGATATTTGGAAAAAGAGGACTCTCCTTTAAAACTGTTGTGATTTTATGAATTTTTCCTATACTTTCTTTTGAGTATATGRAACACCTTGGTTAATAATCAGTAAGGGTTATATAGGCAAAGACCTATAAAAGAGTTTCTAAACCTACTGTGAGTTTATCATCTATGATTGATATAAATGTAAGAGTAGGAGGTTTTCTCGCTGTCTTCCTCGTGCTGGAGGAACATCTGGTCCTTTCCTTTTAAGCTAACGTGATCATGGTGACTAACTGCTAGAGAGACAAGTAGCAACAGAAATAATCTCTCATATCTGCATATTTAGAACAATAACAGATATCCTAGTGCAAGCCTGGAACAGTTGGGCACTGGTGTGTCTGTGTGTGGGCTGGGATGGTCAACTCTGGACTTCGTATCTTCTGGTAGGTCTTTTTGACAGGACTACTTGATTCCAGTTCTCTGGCTTTGATCCGAGTAGTGGGCCTGTCATGATGTTCTTCAGCTTGTTATTTAGCGTATCTGGAGCTTGACGCCACTTGTTCCTAAAATCAGGAGCAAAGTCTTAAACTGGGATTCAAGGTCAAGAGATAACAGCCCCCAAAATAAAGGGAGTGTTCTGTTGGTCAGAAATTATGTCCTGCCTGTGAGATTCAGCATCAAATCTAACAGATTGAATGAATTCAGGGTGGATGTGGCAAAGATGGAAAGCCTGTGGCTGACTGTCATCCAGAAGAGCATAATGATGGATGCCCATATGTGCTGTAAGTAACAAGTTTGGGTTTATRTACTGATAACACCTGAGATTTTTGGGGTATATCTAATGCGGAAAAGAGATTTTATGATAAAATTACTGTGTGTGGTAGTGTGTATGCATTTTTTTTATTTTTTTTCCCYTCTGGTACATTTTATAGTTTGCTCCCTTAAAGAAGCTACTGATAATTTTTGTTGCTGGTGGGCATRTGTATTTTTCTTGGTCATTCACTAGCCAGGACAGCTGGCCTGGCCTATGGGCTCAGGTTTCCTTCCTCCCCAGGGATACAGGCAGGAGGTGAAGGTGCGGATCTAGTTTCCATCCTATGGGGGACCATAGAGGCCTGGAAGTGAGAAGGCCTTCCCAAGTGGCAGAGCGTGTAGCTCACCATAGGGCACACTGTGTAGATTCACTCAGAAACAATCCTAGGCTTTTTAGTCAAGTTTTCAATAACGATCCTTCAAGTGGTTTGTCACGTCATCTGTTGGAGGGTGAAGCAGCTTGCGAGCCTTGGCAGTAAGGCTTGAGTTAAATTAAAAAGATGTGCTGTTTTTCAGGATCTAATTGGAACAGACAGACAAGCATTTATGTACAGAGATCCTTCAGGTCCTTGAAACTGTTTCAGTAAAGCTCCTGCACGTACTGCCTTGTTTCTGGGTGTCTTAAATGTGCACTTTTCAAGATGAGAGTAGCAGTCTCCTGAATGTACTGAAAATTACTGTGTATTTCCTAGCAGCAGTCAAAGGCAGTCAAAGCACTGAAATGCGTGTGCTGTGCCCTCCAAAGCCGTCGCAGGGAGTGCAGGTTGGAACGCTTCGGTGCTTGCCAGGCAAAACACATCAGCCTTGCTCAGAGAAAACAGCCACCAGGGACGTAAAGACAGCGTCTCCTTCCCTCCCTCCCTATCTTTAGACAGGATGAAGTATACTTGAGTTAAGCATATATTTAAAATGTTCACAAAGGGATCTAGCAATGAAGGCTTTATAGCCTCCAGTGACAATCTCTTCTGCTGTTTTTGTGGCATTAATAAAAGAAAACTTCTGCTAATATGTAACCTGCATCTCCTTTGCTGCAGTGTGAGCTAGGGCATCTGCAGAAGTCYAGTGTACAGAAATAGATGACTTACTGGAACAAAGCTTAAGATGCTTTCATTTATGACACACAAAATGAAGAATTGAATTTCCTGCTGGACAGGGAAGCTAGCCACTGTAAAGTGACACCATTCGTGATGTTTTTTTTGTGCATGTGCTGTTGGGGTAATACAGTGCAGAGCTTGTAATGTAATCTCCTCTGAGCCTGCTTTTTATATCTGCCTGTCTGTGTGAATGTATCAATCTCTGTGGAAATGTACCATAGCAAAGAGCTTAAACCTGGTAGTAGACTCCGTTCCTGGTGCGACTCTGAGGAAAGCAGCTTAACTGCTTTGTGTCTCTCTGGCCTTATTTTATATAGAGGAAAACATCTTGAAGGAATTTTTATTTTTCCTCTCATTAAGGTATTTTTTTCCCCCTCCCTTTAATGAAAATAAATAGAATATTCCAGAATGCCTATTGTGGAGTTAGGYTTTCCAGATGAGTGATACCATTGCCAATTGCTTATATCTTAGGCAAATCCTTGGGTGTCATCAGCGCTAGCTGTGCCCTGCAGCAGCATGGTGGGAATCAAGTGAGCAGACTTGGAACCACATGAARTGTGTTAAGGGAAAATAAATGCAGAGGAGCCCCTAATTTCTCTGACAGGTGGAGTGTTTTTTTTCTTTCTATTCAAATATCGTATAATAGAGAAC